AGATGGACAAAAAGATTTGCTAAGAGTACTAATCACTATTTGCTGGATATAATTTTCTGAATCTACAAATTATTTTGCTATAAAAACCATGATGGATTTATATAAGCAATTGCAGTTTTGCTTCGATAGCAAATAAATTTGCTATTTAACCCGAATTCTGTTTAAGTCAACCAAAATTCTTGTTAACTTAAACAGAATTCGGGTTACTTCAATCGGAACTTCTAGATCGTTCATATTCGACCAGATATTTGATTAATTCAACCAAACCTTTTTTTCCATGTAAGGATATATTATTTTAATATCATAAATAACAAATTAAGATGATTCTTAAGACAAATACAAACAAATTTTTTCTATTCTGAGCGAAACTACTTCTACTCTGATAACGAATAATTTGTAAAATTAATTACGTCAACAAAATTGTTTTGATGTAACTACGAATATGAAGTAGCAACGACGATTTTGCTAAAATTATTTTTCTCCGTGTTATTCCGAAAATAAAACGCACCACGCAGTCCTCCTCGGTGATGGTGTAGTCGTTGTAAAAGGGATTGTTGATCATGCAATTTTCGTAATAGAGCGGCTGCCAGTTCCAGATCGGCAGAACTTTGATCAGCAACAGACGGCTGATGGCGGTGAAATGGGTGCCGACGAAGTCGAGCTGTGCCGCCAGGCACACCAGTGTACCCAGCACTATCAGTACCAGAGTACCACGGAAGACCAGCTGCAGCCATGAGCGACGCATCGCCGCCACCAACGGCTGGCAGATGATGTCCATCTCCTCCTCGGTGAAGCCGGCCTGCTGGCAGTACCTGCAAAAATATTTCACGATCACGTTGCACCATTAAGAGGATGTAGAAATGCACAACGAGCTCGAAAAACGCCGATAACATAGAGACAATTGTCATATTTGTATATTTTAAGCTTCTAAATTAAATGTAAAATTTTAATGTAAATTTAATGGAAGTTTTAATGTAAAACTTTTATGTAAAAGTTAAACAATGTTCCTTGAAATTTTTCGCACGAAGTAAACTCGCGTTCAGTAAGCTCCAGATCTTTTGTATCAGACTAATATTTATTTTAATTGACAGCGTCTGACAGATTAATTTATACTCAGAATGTGTCAGAGAACGACACATAGAAAAATGTCATCCTGCTGCTCAGAAAAGCAATTACTCGATTTTCTCAATGTCAGTTCTGAAATTTTTTATCGATCCTGTCATATATTGAGCTATGTTTCAACTCATTCTCGCACACATTTTTATCGTGTGAGAGTATTTGTAATTTTGTGTAGTCAATGCAACGTAAACTTTGCAAAAAAGGATTAGTATTCTATCGGTAAAGATTTCTACTCCAGCATCTCCTTAAGGAAATACAAAGTGGATGACGATTCGGAATACGGAAGTGGATTCGAGAAATGTCGATAACGTAAACGTAATATCCTTTTCGTATTTCTTATACATAGAGAACCTATCTAATATAAATGTGTGCTGCTTTGTTTTATCATGCAAGCAGGACATATAATCACGCACATATGTAGAAATCTTTCTGCAAACTTTTCGTATACTTATATATTTATATTTGAGCTTTTTATAACATTCAACTGTGAAAATACAGAAATATCCCTTGAAATTTTCGTTAGCGGAACGAACACACGTGCGGTACAAGCAAAACTTTTGTATCAAGTACATATTTACGTCAACTGACAGAGCTTAAGATATCAATTTTTAAATTTTTATCGTTTTCGTCATATATTAAGCAATATTCCAATTCATTGCGCGCATTTTCAATATGTAAAAACACTTGTAATTTTGTGCAAACAATACGACGTAAATTTTGCAGAAAAAAGTCAGTACTTTGCCGGTAAAGTTTTCAAATATGGTATTTCCCTAATAAAAAAAAGAAAGGAGAAGCAAAATCAAATCATGTTAAATGCGAAAGTAATCAAAAAGGAACTGTCAGTAAAATTAGATTAAATAAAATCAAAAGAAGTTGTAAACTTCAAAGTATAAAAATAGAATATATTATATTGAGATTGAAAATATAATCAAAATTTCGACACGGATTTATAATAATTTTATACAATAATGATAATTTTATAGAAAAATGACAGATCTTTTGCACTCACTCTAATAAAATAATATTACTAATATAATATCAAACTAGGGGAAAAAGTACTTACCTGACAGATACTAATAACATATTTACTTAAATCTAAATTCTTTTACTTAAATAGAATAAATAATTAATTTTATGAAAAGCTAAAAGATTTAAAAAAAAGTAAATTTTCTCATTTAAAAAATTTTATATTAATATAAGAAAATATGTTATCAATGCCCACCGAATAAATACCTTTGATTTCTTAAATTTATTCGAAATTAAATCTTAATTAAATCTTAAATCTTATTTTTCTTTCATACTAAAGTAAAGGATACTTGAAAATTTATTTACGAGATATAAAGTTTACTCCCTCAGAAATAAACTTTATTTCACAGAAATAAACTTGTATCTCACAAATAAATTTTAAAATATTTTTTTCTCAGTGTAGTGCATAATAAATACAATGGTATGAAAAGCGCGCTAATGCTTAGGTAACACGGAAGTTCCAGCATAAAATCTCATAAATGACCTCATGCATGCCGTGAGTCGTTACTTGTAAAATGAGTTCAACTCGTCGTCGATCAGTCTCAGCTTCTCAGAGTGCGACATCTCGTACTGCTCCTTCGTGTAGGCCTTACGCGGCTGCTTCACGCACTTGCTGCTCGACATCGTGTCGTGACTTTCGCGATTTGTCGGGACACACTCGGGTCACAGTGTTCGAGGCGTTTCGTTCGCGATCGCAAAAATTCAGGAGCCGAAACGCAGCGAGCCCGTCGCTATCGAACCGAAACTGTACATGCGCGCTCTCGCACTCTGCCCGTGCGATATATTGATCGACACTGCGTCGCAACGCGGGAAAAGCGAGAGATTGGTTTTCGAAATTATTTAATCGGGTCTCCCTAATTCACTTTTCTCTTCGCCGCGCGCAAAGTGCTTCGCGAGAGAACTATTCCTGGTACTATGGGACATCCGTGTAACACAAAGGAACGTGATTCGCGCTTTGATTACAAAATTTACTCAGTGCGTAGACTGAAATCGAAGATTGAATCAAAAAGATACAATGGAATATATATCGGTTTTTAGCATTGCATCTATTTTGTCCTTTTGCGCGCGAGTCTTTTTGCTATTGTTTTTCATTTCCTCTCTCTTTCTCTCTTATCCATTTATTATCATTTTTATGAATCGCACTCAGCAAAGTTATTATTATTTTAAAATTCGCAAAGATATAATCGTTTCCTTTTTTCAAATATTATCTCGAGAAGTCTATGAATTTCTCTCGTTATTCGCTTAAATTAATTAATTTCCTTCTTCTAGAATAATTCCCATCTTTCTCGAGATTGAGGCAGAATTTCACAGAACGAAATTCCGCCGATCTCTTTTATAATACGTCGCAGCGCGATATATTGCACCGTTGTTGTTGCACGCGAGGGAGCGATATTTCTCTCCTCCACAGTCGCTATTTTGAAGCAGTAAAAAATAAAATATCTTTAATCAATATTGCGACTCAGTGAAGTGATATTCACCGCGTGATATTTGTAGTCCGTGAGCTAGATTCTATTGTTGAGCGCGGAGCTTATCAACCGGAATTGGTGCGTTCGTGTTTCAGCGTGTATTATACCGTAACTCGGACAATGTCAATTACTTGACAATATCGATGACAGTCGTCGCGCTGCATTGGCTCGTCCATTCTCTTTAAGTTCCTTCATCTCAACGCACGCGGTTACGCTTTGCATGCTGCTGCCGTGAAGGGTTTTTAAAACAGCGCGATGACCTTTCTGGAAAGTTGTTTGTATGAAAAATAATAGCGCAACGAGACAAAAGCCTGCGATGCAAACGCGATTATAACGTAATCGCCGGCTAATAGAGACGAAATAAATAAATTTAAATTCTTGTATCTCTTCTTCATTTTGCAGGGAAAAATATACGCTAAAGCGGTAAGGTAAATTTCCCAGTAATTTACACTTGTCTCAATAATTGAAACATTAATAATATAGTCGTATTTAATATTTCTGAAGAAGCTTTTAAAATTTTGTTAAAAGACAGATATTTCTTTATGCCAACTTATAGTATTATTTAATAATCGTTCAATCATTGAGTCTGCATTATTCGGTATTTAGAATATAATCTATTTTTCATAGTTCAATTAATATAATCAGCATTATCTGATATGTCTCATTAAAGTTATAATTGATATTTATTGATTATTTTTTTATTTTCTGTTATTTTTTTATCGCTGCCCGGGAAAAAAAAAGTTTATATATGAACTTTGTCCATATATGGTTATATATAATCATATATAATTGTATATGTCGACATTGAAAAGAATATTATTGTGAAGATACAATTGAAATAAATGCTTATGTTTATGGTAGCCCATGATATCGACGTTTAATCGAATTAAATTATGTTTTCCTTTTTTCATTTGACAATTTTCGTTTTATATATGAACATATATAATTAGATATGATCATATATAAGGTCACATATATGGACAAAATTCATATATAATCATATATAATCATATATATTTATATATAATTATATATAATCTTTTTTTTCCCGGGTAATGTGCCAAACTTTTATATAAACGTTTGTTTTGTTAGCAATTCAATTAATTATTTAGTAATAAAAATGTAAAACTGATTGTACTTTCTTATTAGTTCAATTATTAGAACATTTATCATAATTATTAATTGTTAGTCCACACTGAATACCCGAGAACTATCAATGATTACTCTAAATTAGGATAACAAGATATTGTTGATTACATAATCTTTGAGATCAATTTTTTGGAAAACGAAGTCTGATGTAAAAAAGAAATTTAAATCCAACATTTTTAATTTGATTTTATGTGAAAGAGAGAGAGATTCACTCTGTACCGGCTGTAGCAGAATTTCAGGAGCACCATGTATATAACATCTACACTTCTGTCTACGTAGATGGCGCCAAACTGTTGATCGTGAAAATGATTCACTGACGTTTGTATTATTATCACAAATTGAACATCAATTGCCGATATAATGGCAATGCAATACTTAAGATTATTTGGTGAGTGTCAATTATTTTTTCTTTTAGGAATTACAGTGAATCTGCCGTGATGAATTATTATGAAATTATTCGTGATGTTATCAGAGATTATAATTGTGAATTCTTATTGCTTTATTATTGTTCACAGTAAACGCTCACAATATATGCTCTAAGAGCGTATACAATGTTAGCCGACACATTGCTTCACTTTCATTGTTACCGGATACACATCAAATGCTTTACAAGACATGCAGGTAATATTTTATTATTACAGCTTTATTATCTAGACACAAAACTTTATAACTCCGACAAAAATTGGCTTATATAACTTGTACACTTATCAAGTGAAATAAGCACAAGTTTTTTAAGTTGTATTATCAAACAATTTGTAAGATATGAATATATAACTCTTGTTGTCCATTATATAACTCATAGATAAATAAATAAATTCATAAGTAACTTTGTTATTTGCTCTACTACAATAACGCGATTACAGGGATTTTGCTGAAGGAGAATTAAAGCCTATTGCAGCAGAAATTGATAAGAAACATCTGTTTCCAAAGGAGCAAGTGAAGAAGATGGGTGAACTCGGTCTCATGAGTCTGTGTGTACCTGAAGCGTTAGGTGGTCCAGGTCTGGATTATTTAGCGTATGCCATTGCCATGGAGGAAATATCCAGAGGATGTGCAGCCACAGGAGTTATAATGAGCGTACACAATTCACTCTACTTGGGCCCAATAAATTACTTTGGAAATAATAAGCAAAAGGAAAAATATATAGTGCCTTATCTGAATGGTGAAAAGATTGGTTGTTTCGCTCTCAGTGAGCCAGGCAATGGATCTGACGCAGGTGCTGCATCTACTGTGGCAAAGATAAATGGTGATATTTTTACAATTAATGGCACCAAGTCATGGATTACAAATGCGTTTGAAGCTAGAGCAATAGTGCTCTTCGCAACAACCGACAAGGCCAAAAAGCACAAAGGTATAAGCGCCTTTATAGTGGACAGTCCAACAGCTGGCCTGTCTCTGGGCAAAAAGGAGGACAAATTGGGCATACGGGGCAGCAGCACGTGCTCCTTGATCTTTGAGGATTGCGAAGTGACAAGGGATCACATTTTGGGTGAACCAGGAATGGGATTTAAGATCGCAATGATGACTTTAGGTTTGCAACCTTTATAGAAAAGTATCACTGGCTGTGATAAATTGGCCAGTAATAAATAGTAATTTTATTACTCGTACGAGTAATAAAATTATTGAACGACAGTAATTATCACTGGCCAAATTATCACTTATCAGTATTAAATTTCTACAAGGGAATAGGACTGTGTGAAATGATGCTCGGTTCTGAAGTCGATACAAGTAATCTTTACATGATTTAAGTAACCATTTGGGCCGCGCTAAATGGTACTCTGTTTACAATTACAATTTACAGGTTACAATAATATACAGGCTGTTTGACACAAACCTATATGTCCACCTCGTGTACATGTGAATTAGGCCAAAAAATTGATGTCATATTAGTGTCAAAAAATTAGGTCAAACTGAACACAAAGTCCCTCTATCATCTTGCAAACGATTATATAAAATTTTGAATTATTAAGCAAAGAAGATTGGCAAATGATCACGCATGATACGGCAAATAAGTTGTGGTAGCGACGCCTGCAGTCTTATGCTTGTAAATTAGGTGAAACAAAAAAGTCCTTTATCATTTTATAAATCTACTACGTAGATTTTTAATTGTTAATTACAGAACACATGCATTATCGCGCGCTCAAAAAAATAATAACTAAAATATCTACGTGGTTATTTGCAAAATGGTATGGAATTTCTCTTGTTCAGTTTGACTTTATTTACAAACACATTGCTGCAGAAGTCGCTATCATAACTCATTCGGTGTATCGCGCGTGATCATTTGCCAGTCTTCTTTAATTAACAACTCAAAATTTTACATGATTTTAATGTTTGCGAAATAGTAAAGGAGTTTCATGTTCAGTTTGATTTTTCTACTTGCACACAACAGATGTGTCAGTAATTGTCAGACAACCTGTATATTCTTATTTATATATATGAAACAATGTCAGTCAACTTGAGTTCAGTTTCACCTTATCTACTTGTACACGAGGTATGGGACTCTTTGTGTCAGATACCTTGTACAATTACGTATATAATAAGACATACAACTGTAACAAAGTACCATTTCATGTGATTCAAACAGTTAATCGATGTGTAAACCGTTTCACACTTCAATTTCGAAGTTATTTCAATGTAACAATTAAGATTAGTGCCGATTTTTTTAATGCCGAAAAACCATGAATCGAAAAAACTAGTATTATTTCGCACAGCAATTCGTATCAGCCATATAATGCGAAATATTTACTGTTAGGACCATAATATAATCGCTCTGTATAACTATGTCCTCGCAGACGCTGGCAGAATAGGCATCGCCGGGCAAGCTTTAGGCATAGCTCAGGCGTCTCTGGATTGTGCGATGGATTACGCGGCTAAGCGTCAAGCCTTCGGCGCGCCGATCATTAAATTGCAGACGATTCAGCAGAAAATCGCCGACATGGCTCTGAAGGTGGAAAGCTCGAGGCTCTTAACGTGGCGAGCGGCTCAACTGAAGGACGCCGGCAAACCGTTCACGAAGGTACGTTTGGAAAAATGAATAGCGATAATTAATAATTGTTCTCTCCCTTTCCCTCCCTCGGGTACGGTATTCAATTTATATTTATCTTATCGAGCGCGTTCCTTACTTATCCTACTGGATACGACGTTTATCTTATCACGATGAATTCACAAATATTAGGCTACTATAAAAATCGTGCTTTTGTCAAATAAAATAAAAAATGAAATTATCTAGTTTCCAAGAATTAATCGGTTCCACGGATAAATAAAGTAATCAAATGAAATAAAGTAAAAAATAAAATTATCTAATTTCCAAGAATTAATCGGTCCCACAAATAAAGTAAACTACATCGACTTGGTTTTTGTTCAGGCATTTAACGAGGATTTTCTATTTTCCCTTTTTGACACTTCCAAACTTCCAAACGAGAATTTTCTCTAAAGAGAAAATGATCAAGCTAATTTGCATTCCTCCTAGGAAGCCGCTATGGCCAAACTGTCCGCGTCGGAAACTGCCACGTTCTGCGCGCATCAGTGCATACAGATTCTGGGAGGGATGGGATACGTGTCAGACATGCCAGCAGAACGTCATTACAGAGACGCGCGCATTACAGAGATCTACGAGGGCACGTCAGAGATACAGAAGCTAGTGATCGCCGGGAATCTCATCAAAGAATACAGCCTCAATTGAGAGATAGCACGACTCGTGTGAGATAATCATTGGTATCTGCGTGTTTTTTTTTTATGTCCTAGTAAAATATATTTTGCATATGCATCGTTCATCTAGTTAATACTTGTAAATATATATATATTTTTTTTATCGTGTGTATATATATATACAAGGATATATATACTTGAATATATCTTCATATTTTTGTATTATCTTTATATACTTTATATACTAGAGAGAAGTCAAAATAAATCTCATGTATGCTACATGTGGCTCTTCTAGTTTTATTAACTCTTGACTAATACGTGACTGATCGAGAGACATACACATACGCGCGCGCGCACACACATACACATACACGTATGTATATACGTATGTATGCAGAAAAGAAGAGAAACGCATATACACGTGCATATATACATATATACACATACACAACGGTATTTCACTCTATTAGCCCTTTGGCAGCGATTTATATATATACAGGATGTTAAAAGAAGAGTATTTTAAACTTACATTGTAGATAGCACTCATTATTATAATGAGTAAAATGTGTCTATTAAGACTCCTGGCCTCCTGCATTGTTTATCCTGCATTGTCTATCTCTTTTTTATGACGTCAGAAGCAAGAAAATGCATGCTAAAAATTTTTGCAAAATACGTTAAAATAAAAATATATATCCATAAAATGACACTTGCAATCGATTAAACAAATTGTAAGATATTCCATGCACTCTCCTTTTGCTCTAACAATCAATAATTTGTCGTAAATTAACATGACATACAATTCATCTTCTTAACCTATTTCTTCGCCTATTTCTATTCAGATTAATTTGCAATAAATTATTGATTGTTAGAGCAAAAGGGGAGTGCACGGAATATCTTACAAATTTGTTTAATCGATTGCAAGTGTTACTTTATAGATATATATTTTTATTTCAATGTATTTCGCAAAAATTTTTAGCATGCATTTTTTCGCTACTGACGTCATTAAAAAGAAACAATGCGAGGGGCCAGGAGCCTTAAACATGGATCGAAAAGTCAATCTTTTCAGAGTTGTAAACATTTTTTCAATCTTGAACGCGTTATTTGTGTACTTTCATTGATCACGCGCGGTCAATAAACGAACAAGTATTTTACCACATCATTTTATTATTACATTGTTTGCAATAAATGTTCTACATGTCCTCCTTTCATTTCTACACACACTTGGCATCTTTGAATTACAAAATTCTGAGTTCTTTCAAAAGTTTTTGATCTTCGAATCTGATTAATTGCATCTCGAATTCGTCGATCTAATTCTTGTATATTATTTGTGGGTGAAGAATAAACTAAACTTTTCATGTATTCCCATAAAAAGAAATCCAATAGATTTAAGTCAGAAGATCGAAGAGGTATGTAACCGGTCCACTTCGTCCAATCCATCTTTCGGAAGGGAGACGCGAGGAACAATTCTTGTAAATATCACAGTGGTAAGACACTCGTTCGTTTATTGCACACAAATATATAACTTGCGTTACTAAAATCAAAAATATTTATAATTCTGAAAAAATTGACTTTTCGACCCATGTTTAATAGACACTGTTTACTCAATATAATAACTATACTATCTGCCCTATAAGTGTGGAATGCTTTTTTTACACCCTGTATATATTTATATATATATATCTCGAGACTTGTCTCTTTTTCTCTTTCTACCCGTGACTCTCCTCTACCTGCTCGTATCGTATTGTATCGGAGGAACGGCTAGAGCTTATCTATTTAAGTAACTATCAATCGTACAGGATAACAGGTATATAGATCCCGCGCACACAGTGTAACTCATGTCTAAAACGAGACGCGCTCTGCAGTGGCGGGCGATGCGGTGTGGAATGAAGGCGAATCCATTAGAAGTCACATTTGTCCCGGCGGCGGCACGTGCCGCCTTTAATCGGGCCTCTTCCGTCGAGAAAACCGCGACTAAATACATCCAGTTCTCCCTTTCATCTCTCTCCCCTGGTGTGTATCCGATACATCGAATACAAATAGTATTAGTGTGCACTCACGTGACTAATCACCGTCGAAGACGGTGAAACGAAGAGATAAAGCTACCTTAGACTACCTATTTCTCTTCAACATAACACAGACAATACATACGTTCTCTTTGTGCAGATGACAGTTAAATTATATACTTTATTGTTGTTACTCTCTTTCGAACTCGGTCATTAATTATATACTTCGAGCTTCTATACGTTAAAATATGTATATATCGCTATACGAGAGAGAACGCTGCTGCGATCGCACATTATCCAAACCCATTGAAAAATGTTGTCCCAATTGCGCGCGCACCTGGGACTGCATTCGGCAGTAAATTATTTTTTCTTTTTTTTTTTAAATACATTCTGGGAGATAATTCGCGTGTACAGCAGTTCTGCGCTCGTTTGACGGAAACAAGTCCGCTACGTAAACATTTGTCTTGTGTATATCGATACACGACATAACGTAACAGGAAAGAGTGGGAGTGAGAGAGAGCGAGCGAGCGAGCGACTGCTAACACGAGGATAATTGCGATCGGCTCGAAGAACAGCGTTCCGAAATACTTGCTCGGTTGTACTCAGAGATCCAGTGGAATGCAAAGAAACATTACATACATGCCATTTAAATTTGAATTTCATTTGTATGCCTTATTTTTATATACAATAACGCACCCTTCCGCCGTTCACCCGCTGTCACCAATATTGAAATAGCCTAAACTTTGCTTCTACATATATATATATATGTATGTGTGTGTGTGTGTGTGTGTGTGTGTGTGTGTGTGTGTGTGTGTGTGTGTATGTATATCAGTGTGTGAGCATTTTACATAGAATACATCGTCTCCCCCATTCTCATGAAATAATTTGATATTGTTAATGTTCTGCCGTTCTCAACCGTCGCAATATGTATAATTAAAAAATCCATCAGTTTGGTCCTAATTTTTGTTTTGGGAGATTAAACACATAAAGCGTCTCGCATTCGTCGTTGACAGTCGGAGCAAACGTAAGGTCGTTGTAAATTAGAATCTATCGCGATTATATCTTGCTTCATGGTTGGAGAATATCGGAAATCTTACCAAGTAACTGTAGACACACACACACACGAGACCGTTAATACTCGTTTCCGACTTCAATCACTTCCGGGTCGTACGCTCGTGAGTTTGAGAAAAATATTCTCGAAATGTCATCTGAAAATACACGATCACTCTTCCGGCCGAAATAATAATACCCCGAGACACGGACCGTTAATATGCAACATTTAGAGATTTTCTCAATTGTACATTAATAATATATTAAACTGTGGATTCTTTTAACTATTTAACTACGATCAAACTTGCAATGTTAAATCACATATTCCTTCCCACTTTTTTTTCCTTTTATGTACTTTGTAGCAAGCATCTTGTTGCTCATTAATGAACCTCGATACCTAGTTTTTTATCGAACTACAATGCCGTTAAGTAATCGCAACTCTCCATCTATATACGGTTTTCGCGAAAACCAAATTCTCTCTTTCATAATTATGCATTGAACAAGAACCAGACAGCTGGTTTTCTTTTTTGCACATTTCCTCCCTCCCTTCTTTTACAGTAATAACTACGTTATAATGACAATCTTTGACTGTAGATACATTTATCTAAAACGCTTGTAAATGTAAAATAAATTAAAATTGTAAGTAATTTGTAGTAGACACTGAATCTAGACACGTAAACGCCGGAAATCGTTCGAATCCTGTGGAATCGTCTATGACAGAGCGTAACAGGGTGTATATCTGTAGGTATGCGTATGTATTTGTGTTGACATGTATAAGAGAATTGATTTAACCGTTCGTTATAGAAGCTATCAAAGCCTCAATCATCAGCGCGCATACCCCGCACTTCTCCTTGATGTCTTTGCTGCAATTAAACATATAAAAACATTTTAGTACATGGAGATTAGTGATCCTTGGCGAATAAATTTACAGTGTTTCGCGCGCAAAGCAGAATCATCGGATATAGACGATCACCTCAAAGTGAAGGATTCTGTCGGAAGCAAAGAGAAGTCTCTCACCCTGTCTAGTTCCTCTTTAGTATTGTCTTCGATTGCTCTAATATCCTCCATGGTTAGACCATACCAACGATCTGTCCAGCAGAAAACTTGTCTATGAAAATTAGTGAACAGACGCCTCTCCGCCTTCTGGATGAAGCCCTCGACGCGGGTCTGCAGACCGAACCATCTAAATTCACAAGTGACTAGCTTGTAGCACGTCATGACAGGCTGAACGCTATTCTTCCACTCCTTGCCTATGAGAGGACCTCGACCAGTCTTCTGTGACTTAAACTTGGTCGGATCCTCATCCTCCTTGTAATCAGCGCTGGCAATCGGATCGTTCGCGATATCTATATGCACAATCTCTCTAATCTTGAGCTTATCTGGCGGCAGCTCGTGAACCTATCAAGAAGAAAGAAACGCATTATAAATCGATTGTACTAACTGGAATCATGCTGTACTTACATTATGTTGATTGCCGACGTCACCAATATGAAATGACTCTATCATGATCACAAAGTTATCCTTCATATAACCTGGGTTCTGTGAAAAATAAAAATAACATTTACAAATTGATATGTATATATGTGCATGATTTATCTCGGTTTCAAAACAACTTCAACACTTTTTTTGTACAGTTGAGGATACAGTCCAAAGAGGGAACTTGTTTTTAAAAAGTTTATTATATATATATATATTTTTTTTTTTTTTCACAATGATATTTCAAAAGAGCTACTAGTAAAATTATTGTTTATCGAACAAAATTACGTTTTTATGTGTTTATTTCATAACGTGTTTATTATTTAAATAAGTGTTAATTTAAAACTAATTTCACGATATTAAGACAGCAAAAAGTAGCAAAAAGTAGCAGTTTTCTGAGGACACAGTCGATGGTCCAAAGAGCGAACTTGTTTTTAAAAAATTTATTCAGGTATTTTCAATGACGCTTCAAAAGAGCTACTCATAAAATGACTGTTTATCGAAAAAAATTATGTTTTGACGTGTTTATTTCACTATCTAAATAAGTGTTAATTTGAAACTAATTTCACGATACTGAGAAAATAGCAGTTTTCTGACCTACAATCGACCATTGCACAGTGTGGTGAATACTATTCTTTCTTCTATTCCTAAACTTCTATTCTTAATATGTCGCATTTATAATACTAAGTTTCTTAATTGCATGATATGACTTTTTGTAAAGTTACTGGAATAATAATCTTTTATATTGCTTCAACTGCAAGATTATATGTGCAAAATCACGATGTTCAGTATTAAATTTTTCCTGAACAGTGTAGATATATCACATGAAACTTTAACTACGAATATGCCTCATCACGATATAAATATTACGTTAAATTTTCATATAATTTTGAGCATTTTGGTTTCAATGAATAAGCTCCTTAATTCATTCGCAGAGGTTCTATCACTGGACTGCCTTTCAACTTACACTAAGAAAAAGGTCATAAGTTGTTTTGAGAGCAAATGTATTGATATATTTCTCATGTACGTATCGCAACAATAACTTACAGTAATAACTGTTTTACAATAGGGATAAGCGTTCCAAGCCTCTTCGTGTATCTCCAGCGAGTTTTTCGGCAGTAAAATGCGAATGAAAGCAGGCACTTTACTAGCTAAGTGATAAATCTTGTATGTATATTGACCTGACGAGTACTTCCCACCGAGCAGTGGGTAATCCGTAAACGGTTCATTCTTTAAAACCTCAATGCCTTCTCCACCACCTGTGTTATTTTTGCTAGCCTCCGCTACAGAGTACAGTTGAGCGACTTGATACTATACGGTAAAAAAGGAAATAAAATATATGAATAATAAACAAGTATGAGTAATAAACAAGTTTTTCTTTTACTGGACATATAAACAAGTATTACATAATGATGTCGCGAGTACTAAATGCATATATTGCGAGGCAAATGTGTCCAATCATCTTTCCTTTCACATATATGTGTATGTTTATTACTGTAATTTAATATACCAAAGTATAGAGAAGAAAAGAACAAAACATATAGTTACATCTAAATGAAGTATTAAATCTACACATAATAATCTTATCATTAGAGAAGTAATCCTTCTCATGTTCCACGAGACAAGTAAACAGAATCAACGGTACAAGAGGTGGAAACAATCTACAATGACAGGTAACAATAGAGCTTGTCAGAGCAATTGTACGACAAAAAAGCTCCATTTGCTGGAGACAGCTCTGTACAAAAATGAACATGTTGTACAGATGGCAATTAGATGATTGGCAGATTTCCTTGATTGTAGAGTGTTGTTAAGAGGCTAGTCCCAGTGGTCAGTTTTTTGCATTCTAACATTCTCAGGCGAATATCGCGAACTGGGTCATTATATGAGGAGCAAGATCTTTACGACGGATCACGCACGTACCTCTTCCACTGTGAGCGGCAGAGTGACACGGCTGTAACAAACAAATAACAAATTACGTCGGCATAATGATGCATCGAGCACCGAATGAGGGAACAAGCAAGTTAAGATCACGGCAAGGCAACCGCGGCCTTGAGTCACGTTTCCGCATCGAACTACCGGGGGGAGTACACGTTGTCGCCGCGCGTAAACGCTCTAACGAGCGATCTCGATTGAGTGAAAAATCAAAGGCGATCGATGAGACGCCAGACTCGACAGATCACGACTCGTATCGTTCATGAGGATCCGTAGCCGGCGCCGAAGAAATCGAAAGGAGCCGAGCTGTCCGACCGTCAGCTGCACTTTCGTGCACTCCTCGCGTGTAAAACGGAGCGTTTGGGCCGCAGGTGGGAAAGAGAAAAGAGATCAGGTACAGAAAGTGCAGCTGAAACGAGCAGACCTCTAAAATCAGGCGGTAAGGGATGAGAGGGCCACCATCCCTCTTCCGTCTGTCGGCCTCATTCTCTCTCTCTTTCTCTCTCTCTCAATACCCACGCATGCACACACACATTCTCTGTCTTTCTCTCTCTCCGTCTTCTTTCTACACCCCCCCTCCAATGGCAGCCGCCGTTAAAGATTAGTAATCATCGCACCCCGTCGATCGGTTTTGAATTTCGCTGCGCTGGCAGGCTACGTGAGCCCACGAAATTCGGGCATCCGCCGTAGCGCGCACCCGACACGACAGCCCCCCTGCCTCTCTCCCGGCCCTTGCCGTCTCGTTACGCTGCCGCCAACACTTACAATTCCTTAATAAGCATTTTAGTCAGCAGTCAGAGCACATGGACCACACAGCAGAGCGCGCGTTCAGCAGCAGCAGGCTTGACCGCCGACGTGGATGAGGTATCGCCGCCGTCGCCGTCGTCGTCGTCACCACCACCAGCACTGCACCACTTCTACCCTCGTCTTACCACAGCGAACCCACTCGCGCTATCGCTCTATCTATCGCGGGCACCGCCGCCGCCACCGCAAAGTCACATACGCGTCGGGAAGCAGCGCCGCGACTCGCCAACCGACTGACACACTCTAGCCGCCGCTGGCCACTCCACGGTCCGCACGAGCACACACAACGGCGCCTGCCACGGCCACTGCCGTAGGAATCGTGCATGCACACGCACGCACACACCGGCGTGCGCCTGACACATCCACACACGTGTCGCGCGACCCCCGCATCCCTCTCGCTTCGCAACCCCTCCGATCTCGCGCGGCGCTAAGAATCCCCACCTTGCGGCCGAACTTTGCCGATGACGTCATTCCAGCGAGATTAGATGCGCGTGCGTGCCGCCCGCGATCGGCTCTTTCTTTCTTTTGCGTTAAGGCTTGTCCAGATGCGTTCGCTGGGCTGTAATTGTATTCGTCGAGAAACTCATTCGATAAATCACGTGCCACAGAGACCGTTGAATTACACAATGATGTAATGTTCTCTACATCGGGTGTGATTCTTCGATTTTTCTACATATATGTGTGTGTATATATATATGTGCGTACGTGCGTGCATGTAAAATATTACGTGGGTTCATAGGTCAATTTAAATAGGACTTTTAAAGCTTATGTTGGATATACTGACGAACATTAAGGGTGAATTCTCAGTCGTCGATTTATCTTCGTTGCTGTCCAATTATCTTTCTGTTCTCGTTTGTTTATCTGAGAGATAGATAAAAGAAATACACATGTGCACACTTTTAGGCTGCGTTTCACAATTCACTATTATTGGAAATCTATAGGTTATGTTATATACCGTAGAATTTCAGTATTTAACAGTGAATTTCGGAACGCAGTCATAATCATCTCGATCTTTTGTGTACAAAGCTGCAATTTGTTTGTAAAGCACAAAATTGGAGCAACGAATAAAACATATTGTGATTTTATTAAGATAAAATGATCCTCTGAAAAGGAGATCCTCTACATTTTCGATATAGCTGTATTTTTTTAAGGTTTTAATACAAACTTTATATTCTTTATTATTGGTTCGCTTAGAGAACGAAAATCATATGTTTGTTTCACATCTAAATATCACAAGAATAGGGCCTAAACTATCGATCTTGTTATTATCATAAGCAATTAAAATTGCATTCCAAAAAGTTCTTTTTGAGGAAAATTTTACTCAATACTTATAGTTCACGTTACATATATTATCGAATAAATATCGAATATCGAGTAAAATTTTCTCAAAAAAAACGTTTTAAAACGCAACCTAAAAACAAGTTGACATGATTCGGTATAGAAGTTTACTACAGCAAACAGTAGACAGTCCTGAAGATTCAGACAGGTATATTTTAGAAGTGAAATTATTTATTAACAAATCTATATAATCATTCTATGTAATAAATATTATATACATAATTATTCTATATAATTACTTAAAATTTCAATTTAAAAATTATTTTAAATCTTTGATAGAAAAATATAAAAAGGCGGACTTAAAATCCTTAAATTAATTTACTGAGAAGTGTGTTGGGAGAATAAATTAATTACGCAATATAGTTTGTGAAAATACATATTAAATAAAACGTGCAGTTTATTACGTTATCTAAAGAAACAAACATTTATTTCAAAGCATATCGATCATTAACTTTTCTTAAAGCACTCGAAACATATAGTTAAAGTCTGATTTTTGTAAATAGTAAACACATCTTAGATGGAAAAGTATAAGATAAGGTTATATAAAATACAAAAAATATGAGCAAATTTCATCGAGTGAAAATATTTATGACAATTGTTCTCTCAAATTGTGGGATTTAAATGAAGACTATTTAAAGAGAAGAATAACGTAAGATCAAGTATGTTACTTATGAAAAAAAAAACGAAGGCCGAACAAAAGAGAAAATATCAGGGACGAAAACACAAATGATAACGATTATAAAAATAAAGAAAAAAGTGATGACAATGACGAAAAAAACGAAGACGAGGGGAAATCGATGACGATATCAATGACAAAGTTGATTTTGATGACGAAGATAATGACGGGAACGACAGAAATAAGAATGTGCGTGTGAAAGTTTCAGCGAATGTAATACTAATTCGTATTGGACTCTCGGAACGACAGATTCGCCGGAGTTGAGGTTAAAAGATATCCGAATTATCTGAATAATTATATTATTTAACATGACGAATGTGTAAACAGTATCTTGGCGTTTTTACATAAAGTATTCTATACAGTTTCTTTCCAGCCGAATAATAGTTCATGAAAACTGGCTTTAATCATTGCCAGGGCGATTCGGTTCAACTTCGCGATTGCGAAAATGATATAAAAATAATTCATGTATAACGTAACTCATTTCAGCTATGTGAAAGTGATTGTACAGAACTGCTAGAGGACTAAATACATTTTTTACAGATGAAGAGTACAAGAAAAAGTGTAAAAGATTATCTTAGGAAACTTGATCTTTTGTCATTAACACAGTCTATTGAAGTGTTGTAATGAGCTGAAGCTGATAGTATGTGATATGTTTTTATCATAATATATTTTATTACGCTGCAAACATAATTTTAGCTGTATAAGTTTTGACAGTTACTTAAATAGTTAATATATTTTTAGAATGTCACTTTAGATATCGTTATTAATGCATGACACTGATGGATTGAAACCATAGATAGTGATAAAAACTTAGTCATAAGTATACTAATGCACTTAAGACTCAATAATTTTTATGACCTTTACATGTTCTTATAATTAGTGATATTGACAATCTGGGATAATCCTACATCAATTTGGATATCTCACCTGAAGGAATATGAATTTTTGGGAATTCTATATAACCTCCAACTTACAGAACTTAAATAAAGGTACAATCAAATTGCATTAATTCTGTGTCATAAATTCTTATAAGGAGATATTATCACTAATTTTTTACTTATTTCTTTTATTCTTTTAAAATATCAATTGAGTCATACTGTTAACTGTATAAGCATGTAAGAAAGTATGTTTCTTAACTATTAGAGAAATATTTAGTAGCTGAATGTATGGTTACATTAGACAGAATTAGTGTACATGATTGTATTAAAATGCATCATAACAAGATAAATTTTGTGCAATTTGTATGATCTTTGAAATTCTTGTAGATTCTATATTAGTAGCAGCGATAGTTTTATTTAAATCTATAAGTATGATATATTTGTCTCAGACAAATTTTTTAGTAGAAATATTTAAGATAAATTGTTTAGTTCCTGCACTACCAAAAACTTTTATGCAATTTAAATTCAAAATAACTCATGATTAGCAAGAATATCAATTTCTTGATAATGGCTACAAATATTTGTCATAGTACAATTAGATTAGTGTAAAAAAAATGAATGAATGATACAATTTTATCGAATGTGCATGATGTTAAAAATTAGATCTTAATATATAAATATGCAGTTTATTTATCTCTATTATAAGCTCCACATATTAATGTAATTCAGAAGTGTACTGATATATTGCAACATTTTTGTCTTTTCAACTTAAATATTTCAGTAAACAAAGATCAGATCCTCGTGAATATAATTTGTTCTTTTAAGAGAAGTATACAGTCTAATCTTAAATTACAAATAGCTTATATAATGATTTGTGCTTAGCAATGGTTACATATATGTATATTGTAGATTTGGATTCGAAAAAGTTTCATTCAAATCATCCAATGGCCAAAGTTTTAAATTGTTTATTGGAATACTGAGCTTCCATCACTAAATACTGCACTACAGATAACATTACAAATGTGTCATTTTCATTTAAACCTATAGATTATCATACTTATGTAAAGATTGTAAAGACTACTGATGGCATATCAAGTGAGACAAAAAACAAGTTCTATCTATTTATCTTTGTTTTATGACCTAAATTCTTTAATGATTTTTTATATATTCATAATATTACAAGCAAAAGAGAGAGTTAATTTTCATTATTTGTACAAATGTTATTTCTACTCAGACAAAAACATATATTGTCAGAATTATTCTACAGATGTCCAGGACATCCTAAGTAGGATAACCTCAGGATGTACTGTTATCTGAGTTACTTAGATATAAATATTATATATTGTATAAATTCTAATTCTAAATTTTATAAATAATTGTATAAATCCTATATTCTAGAAATCATATGTACAAGTTAAATTAAGTTCTTAACGAATATGCAAGATAAAATTTATAACAAATACAATTTATACAAGATACAATTTAATTAAATCACACAATGTATTCATTTTGTGTATTAATGTATTAACATTATATTGGAAATGTTACATTTAATGTGTTACTGACTGTTTTATGCTAATATAGAGAGAATTTTTATAACTTTATATACTGTCTCATGTCTTATTTATAAACCTTCACATTTATATTCACAAGTTTCATGAGCTGTCATGGTAAAATGATTCGTATGCTAAAAAAAAAATGTAACAAGCCGGATCCAAATTCACTGAAAAACCTGTTATGCTAACTAATATAAAAATATGACGGAGAAACTTTAGACAGAAATATCGCTTTTCTCATTAACCGCAACGATACAATTAGAACGATTATTTCATAACGATTAAATTATTACAGAAAAACGTAAGATTCTGCCACAACCCAGTATAACATCACAATTTATTGGACGCCCTGTACAACCGGCACGTGTGCACACCTGGCACACGTGACATGCGCACTCGTTCGCAGTTGGCTGATTAGATGTTCAGCGCGTCGGTGCGACGGCAGAGTGGTTTGAGAGGCCGATTCGGAATACGAGGTGGTTTACAGTTGAACTGCGGAGCACCGCTGCGTTTCTTCACGCTGCCGCCGACGACAATGAACAACGAGATCACGATCGACGACGTGAGTGATTACAGCTCTCGTGGCTTTCTTTTCGGATGACATTCGGAAATACATTCTTTGTTGCAGTTTCCCGCTTTGAGGTTGAAGCATGTTTTCATTAAAGACGAGGTCGGGCTCTTAAAGAGGATCAACGCGATGCTGCAGGGTGGCGCGAACAATTTGCAGGTACACGTGTTCTCTGTTCACATAAAGAGTTCCTCTTTCTGCTAGTATTTGTCCTGTTTTTTGTCAATCTATTATTAATACAAGAAGAACTCTTTGGAAGAACAAATCAGAAATTTAAAAAAGTCCAGGAGCAGAGCGAATGGACAGAGGTTGTTGATCGTGCTTTCGTCCCAGATAGCACATTCGAAGAATTTTCACTGAACTGAACTCTGAAGAATTCTTTTTACATCTGAAAATGAACTTAGAATTGGCGATATACGACTGAATTCTTTTTTAATTCTCTGCGCTATTTGGGCTGACACCATCCTCTAAACACTTTCACATCCCCTTGTTGGGAAAGATTTCAGAGAGACTTGGCAATATTTTAAAAAATATTACTACGCTTTCGTTTTCTATTATTAACAAACTGTCGGGGATAATTCGTGTGCACAAGGACAGCCTTCCTTGTTATCTCCCTGATAATATGAGAATTTCAGACAATGGGACAAACTTTATGATAATAAATAATGACATTATAATAGCGTTATAATCATAAAGTCATTGACCAAACAAGCAGGAGACTTTCTACACGCCCCAGGTAGCAAGGTGATGTCTTTAGACGTCACCTTGCTTCCTGGAGCATTTCCGAACATACACGATTACCCAAAGATTTAACATCGAATTCTTCAGCTGTCCAAGAACATCACATTATTAGCAATCACGAGTTCTATTGGGATGATGTAAAAGTTACACAAAGAACGGCTTTATTTTAAAAGATTGGTTGAAATGATTTTTATTAAATTGTAAAAACAAGGCCTCAATTCGCAAACTGACATTGAAAATCTTGATAATAGTTATAATATAGTTGTTCGGGTGCGTGCAAGTTTTTTGTCTCTTGCTTATCATCATATTTTTACTTAATTGTGTACTTTTCCACGATCTAAATATAAACACAGTATTTGTACCGCTGCCGGCATTTGTAGGCTTAACGATATCGGTTTTATCCTTGAAAATTTATATTTCCTCTGAGACAACTGGGTAACTTTCTGTTTGCCTTGATTTTTCTTTTCTGTTATTCTTGTTGTTATTTTGGAATTTGGACACCACCACCGCGGCACTCTACTAAGTGAACGATCTGTAAACGACGGAAGTCGCGACCGGGCTACTTACATGAACTCATTCCAACATAGGTCGTTTTGTTTCTGAGGATTCTTGAGGCCTAAATAATTTACTTACTTGCGTGTACTTTGTTTTCCGACTGCGACGATTTTTCTTTAATCTATTTTTTGGATTGTTCTGACAACTGACCAATGTTTTATCTCTCTTATGACAATTTTATTTCACCACTGAAGAGGGTCTGCGAATTAGACCGAAACGCGTTTGGTGACTTTTTGTATGTTTAATTAATAAATTTCCTCCGTCATCGTATAGAAGACTTTCACTAACACTCTGGTTAGTCTGTATAGCAGTAGAACACTTGTGCTTAAACTCTTATAGGCCTTGTTTTTTAATTTCCAATCTATTATTTTTTGTGCAGATAGTTACGGATTTTGATCTGACTTTGACCAAGCAACATATAAATGGAACGCATGTACTTAGTAGTTTCGGTGAGTATCAAGTCTAAACAGAATGCTGTTAGGCCTGTTTTGTTTTTAACTGCACTGATGCTGTACTGGAACTTTGTTCCTCTCATCTTCAACACTCAGTTAGGTGCCTGTTTCATTTTAAAAGCAAAAAGTGCAAAAAAGTTTAGCTAGAAAAAAACAGATCTATTATGTACTGGCACAATGTATCGTAGATATAAGGTAAAGATGCCCAGACATATATCTCATTCTGGACATTGTCATTGTTTTGATCTTTAAATGCAAATTATACTTAATCTTTCAACATTCTGTGTTTTACATACCCGAGAAAAAAAGTTTATATATGAATTTTGTCCATACATGGTTATATATAATTATATATGTTGACATTGAAAAGTATATTATTATGAAGATATAATTGAAGTAAATGCTTATGTTTATGATATGTTTATGCTTATGTAATGATAGCCCATGATATCGACGTTTAATCGAATCAAATTATATTTTCCTGTTTTCATTTGACAATTTTCGTTTTATATATGGATATATATAATTAAATATGATCATATATGGACAAAATTTATATATAATCATATATATTTATAAATAATTATATATAATCTTTTTTTCCCGGATATATTTATGTATATATTTAATATGTGTGTATATATTTTGTGTTGAAAGTTTAAATATATATTCATATTTAAAGACCAGAACAATAAGAATATCCAGGATTAGATACGTGTCCATTGGTCTTTTATCTTACTTTTATCTTACAAACTTTTATCTTATTTTTATCTTACAAACAACACATATGAAACTTTTGGTAATATTAAGATCTGAATTTAGGCATGTTCCGGAATAGCAAGCAATTACCAACAAGATACACAGAGGAGGCTAAGCGTTTGTACGCGAAATACAGGCCCATGGAGATAGATCCGGATCTGTCTCTGGATGAGAAAGCAAACGCTATGCGTGATTGGATGTCAGCTGCGCAAAACTTGCTCAAAGGCATCGAGTTTGACTTTAACGAGATACAGAAAATAGCGCAGTCGTATGACGGAATCTTACGCGACGGCACTGAAGAGATATTTGAAAAGTTGCACAATGCACACGTGCCGATTGTAGTGTTTAGCGCCGGCTTGGGCGATATGGTGGAAGCTGTGTTGAGGTACCACAATGCTCTCTACGATAATGTAAAAATAATCTCCAACTTTCTCAAATATAACGGAAGTCACTTGGATGGATTTAAGAACGACGTGATCATTCACGCGTACAACAAGAATAAGTGTGCGCTTAAGAAAGATTATTTGGAGATGCTCGGAGAAAAGCAAAATGTATTATTGATGGGCGATACGATTGGCGACGCCGACATGGTAGAAGGAATGGGAGACACCAAGACAGTGTTGAAAATAGGATTTCTTTATGAGCACGTGGGTATTTCATGACTATTTTACATTCTTTATGCCACATTTCTATCATTCGCTAACTTGAGAGTTACCAAAATATTTAATCAGGCGTATTCGTTTCTAGATTTTTTTCATCATAACTATGTTAATTAATCATCATTTCTGTATCTATAAGTCACTATAATTTATAGTTTGTCTAATATATTGTTAAAAAATATATTAATTTCTTTATAATAAAACAAATTTTCTAAAACAAAACAAATGTAAAGCGTTGAGCAATCTATACATTTACAAAGTTCATCGTTAATTAACGACTGTTAATTAACTACATTGTTCATATATTAATATCTGCATTCAATAGAAAAAGTTGCTTTATAACTGTTGTAAACTTTTGTAGTAATCTAATTCATGTATGTTCTTATATGGCTTTGCTAAATCTAAGCAAATTCACAAATCTTACAATTGCACAGCAGCTTATTCTGCTGGATGAATTATTTTATCTTTTTTTTTTAATATATTCTTACTGTATTGTATCATTGACTCATCATTGCAAATAAAACTTATTCAAGCTCTCAAAGTCAGCTGTTTTGAAACATTGTTGCTGCTTTCTCGATTAATCAACAGTCATAATGAATGTATATTTTTAGAAATGATTATGCCTGGTTTTTAATAACTCGATCTAGTGATAAGACACTAATAGTATTGAGTGTAAGATATATTAGAATATTATAATAGTGTAGGATATATTAGAATATTATAATAGTGTAGGATATATTAGAATATTATAATGTAATTGCTGAATTCTTTTGTTATCAGGTGGAAGCTAGCTTAGACATGTTCATGGAGAAATTCGATATCGTTCTTGTCGACGATCAAACAATGCAAGTACCGAAAGAAATATTGCATAGTATCTTGCAATGATGTTCTGATAATGATTGATATTACAGTTAACTTACGCCTATGTATATATAGGTTCAATTTAAGAGAGAAAGTACATGGATCTTTTATATATATACAACTTTGTAAATGTAAAGATTGTTCAACGCTTTATATTTGTTTTGTTTTGGAAATTTTGTTCTATTATAAAGAAATTAATATATTTTTTAACAATATATTAGATAAACTACAAATTATAGTGACCTATAGATACAGAAATTCATTACAGAGATGTTTCAAATAAACCAATTTTTAATGATTCAATATTTTAAAAGTGTATTTTTAATGTTATAAAATTAAGTATATTGCTCCAACGTGTGCATACTACATCGTACTATATATAATAATATCGATTATGATATCTAATACGCGATAAAGCCAGACAACTGTAATCTGCGAAATCTGAGCACCGCTACGAACGATTAACTGCGACTTGATACGATCTCTGATAGTCGATGCTCAAACACGAAATAGCATAGCATCAATTTTTGTGCTGAATATATCCCACGCTACTAATTTCATCGTAAGTATTTTATCGCAATAACTGGTCTTTGTCAGTTCCTTCTAAAATATTACAATGAATTTTTTAGTTCAACGTGCTGTCAAGAATTATTTCGCAAGTTAATTTTAATGTTTAATCTCGTGTATTGTAAATGAATTTAATCTTATGTATTTTTTTTAATATGTTAATTATTTTGTGGTATACACTATAATTATAAAAATATCTGAAATATATTGAATATCTTTAAATATATATTGTATAAATATTGAAAGTACTAAAATTAAGAAAATGAAACAATTATGAAGAAAAATCGATTGAAAAGTGAATAGCCTCTTATCCATTCAAGTTTCCATTTGAGACCCATTCTTTATAACTAATTATTTTAATTGTATTATATTCACTTAATTTAAGACAAAATATATATATATATACATATATACATTCATTAAATATATATTACATATATACACATATATACTCATCTTAATGGTTTTATTATTTTATCAGTTACAATGATTAGACAAGAAAAAGTTCTAGGTGCAATTAATCAGTTTTTAAGCGGCAATAAGATGCAATAATATAAATTTTTTGGAAACATTTTTTTGTAAAAAAGATCAAAATTATTTCCATTTTTTTAAATTGAGACTTTTTTAACTATAATATTGTACGCAGGATTAAACAAATTCAGTAGTAACTTATAATTTTATTTCTACTAACATTTAGCAATAAAAAATATGGAAGATATGATAATGTTTGGAGTACAATCCAATGAATAACATTTAGTACTCAGGACATGTTCAAAATGTAATCCATTTTTAATCACATTATGAATCACTATACAATCACATTATGAATCATCTATTGGCCTGATTTACATCGTGCACTTGATACGTGTACTAAATAGTAACTTTCTATTAGATAATCTTAATATCAACAATGCATATCAACGGCAACGTATTCAATCAATACAATATGTTTTATTGATAAGTATTATACCAGCTTAATATATCGTTGTTTATATATATCGTCGATATTAAGATTATCTAATAGAAAGTTACTATTTAGTACGCGTATCAAGTGCACGATGTAAACCAAGCCATTGAGCTTGTTTGAATTCTCTTTACAATACTATGGATTAAGAAAGATATGACTCTACTTTAAAAAATGAAAATGATTTTGATTTTCCTACGAAAAAGAATGTTTTCGGAATTTTTATTGTTGCATTTTGTTGTCGTTTAAAAATTGATTAATTACATCTAGCACTTTTTCTTGCCCAATCACTGTAACTGGTAAAAATGTAGATACTTTACGATCAACACCTCCTGTGCGTGCGTGCGTGCGTGTGTGTAAGGTTTTTGTAGGAAGGAAGGAAGAAGAAAATGAATTGCCACATAGAACAGCTAAGAAGAAGCACCGACGAGATACTCCTAAAGAGTGTCGACCCTGGGTAAATTTTCGACATGGTCAAAAGGCCCGGAAGGGCCCGAAGGTAATTGAAGAACGATGACGATACTGACTGTTTCTCACACAAAGCGCTTCTGTCTGTCCGTGTGACTATCTTTACGAAAAAAAATACAAAAAAATCCTTAATTTTGGGTGTTAACACTCAAATTTAGGTGTTTATCCTCAGTTTTTGGGTGTTTACACCCAAAATTGAAGGTTTTTTCGTAAGGATACACCATCGACATATAGTACTTGACGGAGCATTGTGCCGAAATCGTATTGACAGACGTAAAAAAAGACAAAACGATGTAAGTAAGATAACAGTAATCCCTTGCTTTAATCTTTAAGCCGTAATAAATTGACCACAGTATATTATTTAAAAAATAATCAATTGTGATTGGTCAATTTCTTACGGCTTAAGAATTAAAGCAAGGTTGTGAACACAAAGGGTTCGAATATAGGAATAAGAAAAAGGTAAAATATAAAAATGTACGGTCAGATTTCTCCGTGTCGCTAAAGCCCGTAAGGCCGACGGTCTTTTCTAGTACCTCGTCGGTGAAAGAGGTCTTTTGTTTTGAATGTTTCGCGCCATTTGTAGTTACCAACAGTCGAATCGAAATACCACTTCCCGCACGTGAACGCTACCTGTAGACCGCAGTTGAAACTTCCAAAACGTTTCAAACTGTCGCGCGACGTTGACTGTGCTGGAAGTAATTTGCATCGTCTTCTTCTTCGTTGGTTCTACATTCATCTGTCGTTCCTCACATGTCATACCAGTGAACTCAGGTATCTAAGAGAATTGCGGGACATTAGTTGCTTGAAAATCGATAGTTGTAACCTCAAATTAGTCTCTCACAAACGGTGTCGTATGAGTCGTGACACTCCTGTTGCTCCGCCGACGATTTGTCGAACGCGATTCCAGTGTTTTCAGAAAATACTTCAGAATTTCAACTGATTATAAGTGATACAATCGCGACGTGATCGCTTCTGGTACAAAAACGCGCGATTTTTTTTACGCGAGAGATGCAACTAAGAGGTAACACGCAGGTAACACCGCGTCGATGCAACTTTATACTTATGGCTCGTTTGTACAGGCTGTAACTGTTAACTCATGTGGCAATCCGTAAGAAATTAACCAACCACAGTCGAATTATAACAGGAATAATCGACTGGCTCACTGCATGAACAAGCCATTATCGTCGCGAAGCATCTTCGCGTCGTAGCAGAATGCATCATGGCGCCCGAAGCAGCGATATAAAAACTTTTTAGTCCTCAATTTTTCAAGTTTGATTTTATAGAAAGCGCATTCTTACGAAGTACAGAGACACAAAGAGATAACGTCGGATGACAAGAAAATTTATTCATGATAACGCAACATGGTTTGGTAAGCAAATTATCGCGATAAAGATGTTCCTTTCTCGGAAAAAATCAGTGTGGTTAAGATCCTCTTTGTGTTAGGTCCTGTACCATGAGAAGAGAAAACGTTAACAATGAGAATAAATATTGAGTATATATTTTATATTTAAGATTACTTATTTTTCATATTTAACATTATTTTCCGTCTTTTAGGGCGTTAACAGAATGACTGACTTTGTAATTTCAAGACAATGTTTTGTGCCTTAAGTCTTTGTTTTAAGTAATTCACAATACTATCTGGTATCTTGAGTCTTCAACATATATTCGAAATATCGGAATTTGCAAGAAATAAACCCATGCATATGAAGACAAAAGTAACAATTTTGCTATACAATTAATAATAAATAAATATTTTATAAACATTTAATTCCCATTTAATACATTTAACTCTTATAAATATGTAATGACAGTCAGAGTTGAAATTTATTTTAATAAATGAATATAACCTGAAGTTATGAATGAACTAAATGAGAGTTAAATATATTATGTTAAAAACATTTATGAAATATTCATCTATTGTTAGTAGCCACACATTAAAATGTCATGTTTTTACATATGTACATTTATTTCCTGCAAAAAAATTGGCAAGTTCACATATGTTAAAGACTTGAGATGCAAGACAGTATTGTATGTTACTCACAAAAATCTAAAAGCATTGCCTTAAAAAAACAAGTCAACCATTCTGCTAAGGCTCTAAGATTGCATTCTGAAACTTCCTTTTTTAAAAATTTTACTGAAAATCTAATAATTTACGTTACATATACTATGGATTTTCAGTCAAATTTTTCTCAAAGAGAATGTTTGGGAACGTTTGGGAACGTAATTCCTAATTTATGGTGCGTTAGTCTATTCTCTTTCGTTATCTTTGAATAAAATAATTCCATTTTTCCAGGTCAGATTATTTGAGATTTC